ATTTTTTGAACAAATATAATAAAAATACTCTTGTTATAGCGAATTAGCCAATCAAATCTCTTAAACTCTTCACTATAACCTTATAGCGAAGTTGAGGTCTAAGACATAGAGTTCGTTATAACAAGAGTTGACTGTATACTTATTAAATTTCGTATAAGTTATTTTTAGATTGATCTAATCTTTATAAATAATATAATACACAATTATAATATGATATTTATATTATTATTTTGATTTGTTGTTTTTAATACAAATCAGAATTTTATCAAGAATAATTCTTATTATATTATTTTAATCATAAATATAAAATTTCATAAGATATTAAATCAAATGTGTAAATTAAATAAAATTTATTTATAAAAAGAAGTATTTTTTTTTATCATCATATAATTTTTTATTAATTGAATTTTTTAATCATTAAATTTTCACTTTTTAAATCATTTAATTTTATACCTTTGAATTTTTTTAAATTAAATATAAATATAACTATCAAAATAATTTGAAAGGATAATAAAATAGATTTATTAGTCAAAAAAAAAAAAATAAAATAAATGAAGAATATTATATTAGATATAGAAATAACAAGATAGGTTTCTAGTAGAAATATAATTTGATGAATAAATTACAGATATTATATGATATATTTTACTTACTAATGTAAGAAAAAGTAAAGAATTTATTATATAATATAATATAAGTAAATAAGTAATTATATAATAATAAATATAACTTAACTGTATAATTAATATCTTTTAAGATTTTTAAAATTATCAAAATAGAACGAAAGAAAGTGAAAGGTGAATTTATACAACAGAAAGATTTTATGAATTCTTCAGAACTTGATTTTGATTTATATTAAAATATTTACTTTTTTAGAATTGAAGCATTCTCAAAATAATTTATTTACTATAAGGTAAACCCATAATATGTAAAATATAAGACAAAATTATAATATATATACTAGGTAATAATTATAAAAAATTTTTTATTCATTTAAAAATTTCATTTTTTATTTCATTTTGTTCACTTATTTTTTTATTTGTTTCATTTTTTTAATTTTATCTTTTTATTTTGTTTTATTTTCTTAATTTTGTTTTTCATTTTATTTTATTCTTTTTTGTTTTATTTTATTTTTTAATTTATTTTTTAAATTTATTTTATTTTTTTTTAAAAAAATAATAAATTAAACTTTTTTTAAAAAAAATCTTTATAAATCAATAAAAATATTATATAATAATTAACAGATTGCATATTAAAATAAAATGACTATAATTTATAAAATAACATCTGAAAAATTATATTATAGTAAAATTATATTTGTGTAATGAAATCATAATTATCTATTATACCAAATAATTTATTATAATAATAACAAATTTTCTTATAATGAAAGTCTAATTAGTCTAGATGTTAAATTTATTATATTGAGTTTTAATTATATTTTAACTTAAAGATTAGAATTGACCAAAAATTCTTTAATCAATTAATAAATGATTAAAGTATTTATTAACTGATTAATTAACTGATTAAAGTTAATTTAAAGTAATACTATATATTTGGCTAAAGTTAAACAATATACAGTATTTACAATTATAAACATCTTAATACTAGCTAAAATTAAATTTCAACCTGAGTTAAATTCATCTATTTTAACCAATTAAAAGGATTATTAATAGATTATATATTAACTATTTTAACTATTTAATTAACTAGTTTAATCTCTAATTTAGCTAATTTAATATTTTGATATCGCTCACTTACAATTTAAATTAATACGTATATTTATGCTTTAGATTTATAATAATTTTTAAACTGTTTCTTAGTTTATTAATATTAATAATTAATTTTACTTATTAATTAAATTAATTTAAATAATTTAAAAATTTTTTATTAAAAAATAATAAATTTATAATATTTTAAATAAATTATATCAAAATTATATCAATTAATACTTTTTTATAATATATAAATATTAATAAAATATTTTTAGATAAATATTAAATTTAATATTTTATATATTAAAAATTAAAAATTAAAAAAATTATTTTTTTAATTATAAGAAAATTTACTTATAGTTTTAATTAATTTTTAATTTTTAATTTTATTAATTAACTTATTTTTTTTTTTTTGATTTTATTTAAATATTATAAATTTTATTAATTTTTAAGAAATTTGATTTAAAATATATTTTATTAAAATAAATATTTTTATATTATTAAAAATATATGTTTATATTTTAAATTAATTTTATAAATATAGATTATATTAAAGTAATTTTTATTTTTTAATTTTATAATAAAATATTTAAAATTACTTACTTATAAACTATGAATTTGTAATATTTAAAATATTTTATAATTAATTTTATTGAAATTTATTATTAATATATTAATTATTTTATAATAAAATAAAGAATTATATATTTTTATGCAAAATATTCTAATGTTTGTCTACTTAATAATTGAGTTTATGCTAATTAATTTTTATAATTATATAAATTTTTAAATAAAATAAATATAAATATAAAATTTTTTAATTAAGATTATTTTAAATTAAGATTACTAAGCAAAATCTAAAAATTTTGTAAATCATTTAAATATAAAAATAAATTTTAGTAAAATTATATTAAAAAAATCTGTAAAATTCAGAAAAAGATAAATTATTACAAAGATTATAAAATGTAAAATTATATTAAAACCTTAGTAAAAATTAGTAAAACTAAAGTTTAGATATCCAAAATAAATTTTGATAAGCAATCTTATTTCAGACTTAAGAATAGTTCTAATTTTCTAGTTATAATAAAATTTATCATAAAAATATTATAATTTTTATAATACATTAAGAAATTTTATAAATTTATTTATAAGTAGTAAAATAATTCAATTAATTTGTAAACATATAAATTTTAAAACTTATATATCTTCTAATCAAGTTAAATTTTAAATTTTATTCTTTTTTTTAACTTTATTTTTATGCAATATGCAGATCAAATTTATAAGGAATGTGATACAAAAATATTAAGCATTTCAGCAGCAAATTATTATTATTTTTTATATTGTTATACAATTTACATAAAATGATGTATTTTTTTTAGTAGAAAAAACAAAAAAAAACCCCCCATTAACTTCCACCAGTCGAAAAGATAAATAGTGAAAATGGATATGAATAAATAAATATACAGAAATTTTTGTTGATGTTGGCTAGGAAATTATGCAAAGTCACGTTCTTTGACTGTTGATGCTAGAGTTGTTACTATTGTACTATTACTAAAATTGCTACTTCGTCTTTTATCATTGATTTGATTAAAACCTCTTTCAATGTCATTGTTTGTAGCATCTGAAGGTCCTTCAACTATTTCTTCAATATCCTCCTCATTAAAATTCCTTTCATTATTATTTTTGTCACGACGAAAGCCTACAACCATATTTGCCCATTCAAAGAACGATAACCTTTTCATTGATGTAATAAAGGCATCATCACTCTCTTCTTGTTCTATAGAGGATGTATATTTAGGAAGAGTTTGAGACGTTTTTTTCTTATGATAAGCAGATGGTACATGTGGCGTTCCTGGTATACTTTTTTCTGAGTTGCTATTATTACTTCCCTTTTTGTATTTACCCTCAACTACTCGCACAATTTCAGCATCAACTGTTATAACATAAGACATTATTATAGTAAAGGCACTAAAAATTCCTTTATCGATTGCTTGATGAGTAAAGCTTGATGAAGGAATAATTTCAATATATATTGAAGATAATGTACTTGTTACAAAGACAACCGCTAATCGTAAGAAATTCCAATAAATCACGGCAGTAAATAAGGTACGTTTCGTTTTTCTGTCCATGTTTGATCTAATTTGTGCCGCATTACGGTTTGCCCTTTTAAGAATTTTGACAAGGCGAACAGTCACATAAATTTCAATCAACATATCACAACCAATTACAGTCCAAACAGCAACTTTGGCTGAGTTAGGATTAGGATTACAGGATTGAATTCCGCCGTCAAAAAAAATGTCCGGTTTCGATAATGCCATTTGAGTAATCTTTTTTTAATAAATAAATAATTATATTTATTTAGAAAAGGTTATAAGTTATCAATCTACATGTATGAAATTATTTACCTGTGCTATTGTCCTAATAAATAACAAAACCAAACTGATCCATTTGTCAGATTCACGATTCTCAATTTGTCTTAGTCGCCACAATAAAAAAATAGCTAATGATTCTTTGAAGAAGAAATTTGCAACAGCTAATGCATAAGATAAACTATGACATAAAGATAAAGGTATTTCTAATGGAAGCATAACAAATCCAAAAGAGAGCATAATGCGGAATAACCCAGAAAAATTAAATATAATTTTTAATATGTTAGATATATTGGATTGGCGTGCTATATATAATAAGATTGACACGATCAAATTATGAAGAAAAGTCATTGAAATTAAACCATCTATCCAAATAGAGTAAAAATTAATTATGATTTCATCCATTTTATTTTTATTTTAAATTTTTATTTCGCGAGGAATTGGTAGGCTATATAGACTATTTAAAAAAAAAAGGTGGGTTCAAATTAATTTTGAATCAAAATACTGAGGGAAGCATATTTATGTTCAAAAAAAATCCGATGAAACTGAACCAAAAAAAGATAATAAAAAAAATTGTACAACAATATAAAATGAGGTTTTATTTTTCAAACATCAAAGGAACAATATTAAGTACTTTTTGTTAACCACAAATATTTATGCATAGTGTAAATCTTCCATAATTATAATTATGAGTAGGTTTTACTATTATTGTTGTTCGAAAACCTATAAACCATGTGCTTTAAATTACCAATTTAAGAATCTCTTTATAGCCAAAATAATACCATTTGTTTCGTCACGTTTTTTCCACTTTTTTTTTCGGATCACGATCTGTTACACATCATTTTGATGATCACTTGCCTCAATTAATATAATAAAAGTAAATAATAATAAAACTGATAATAAATAAATGTAAATCATTTCCTATCGAGTACAGTATATCATGAGATATTTATCATGTATCGCTTATAAAAAAAGTATACCGTATTTCATCCCCGAACCCTTAAAAAAAAATAGTGTGTCATTTTTTAAACAATAATATCACGTGATTTAGTGATATTTCGTTTGATGCAATTGTAAAAAGAAATAAAAGAATAGAAAATTTCTGTTTACACGGGTGTATGTACCCGTATCATGTGACATATACTTGTCACCGGCGTCACACCCCTCCGTCTTTGGTTTTACTATTTATTTCAGGAACTTAGAAATTTTTCGGTAAAATAATTATTATTTATCACTCATTAACTGTCACATGGACGTCATGCAGGTAATTTCTTAATTTCTTCATATTGGTAAAAGTAATGTTAATGCCGGCCGTATCACATGACCGTGTACAATACAAATAGAAATTGCCAAAAGAAAAAATAATAAAAATTTAAAAATTATAAAATTTCACATTGTTTATATTTTAATATTCAAAAAGAAAAAGATATGAAATTAATAATTTATAAATATCAAAGTGACATAAAAATGAATCAATTTATTAGAAGTAAAACCTTTATATTTAAATGTTAAAAAAGAATTAATTTAATAGATTAAAATTATATAATTGCTGTTACACTACTTATGACTCAACAAAAAATAAAAGTTTTTATTGGTAAAGATTTATCAAATAATAAAAAAATGACTTTTGCAACTTAGAAATGTCTTGATTATTTTATGAATCATTATAATCTTTCTATTTATCAAAAAATAAAATTAGATAAAAGTTACCTATTAATCTTTCTTTAAAATTAGAATTATTTTACAAATTTATTAAAAAACATAATCAAAAAATCTATATTACTTTTCACAAATTGCAAATATAGATGAAACTCCAATTTTTTTTGATAGATTAGTAATTCAACAGTTGAAAAAAAGTGCAAAAACAATTCAAATTTATATTACTAAAATAATAAGAATCAGTTTACTTGTATTTTAATAGTTTTTGCTAATTGAACAAAATTTATAATTATTTTTAAAAATAAGATATTTCTAAAATATCTTTCTCTTAATATAATAGTAAAATACAAAAAAGTGTTGAATAAAAAAGATTTAATAAAAATTTAGTTTCAAAAAGTATGAAAAAAATATGTTGAATCTAATAAAAGATTTTTATTAATAATAAATAATTTTGAAAGATTTAAATAAAATTTATAAAAAAAAATGATACTAATAAATATTAACTTAACTATTATACCTAATAATTTTTATATTATTTGTTTAATCATTAGATGTTTATCTTTTAAAATCAAATACATAAAACATAATAAGATTAGATGACTAATAAATATATTCTTTTATTAATAATAAAAATTTATAAAAATCAGAATATAATTTAATTTATAAATTGATTTTAGAAGTTTAAAATAATATTTCTATAAAATAGTTTATAATAGTTTTAAATATAAAATATAAAATAATATTTATTAAATAATAAATAATTTTTTTGTAATATAATAAATTGAGTAAATTTATTCCTTACTTCGGGTGAGATAAATTATTTTTCACCTCTTAATTTTTTTTGTATGCATTTTTTATTAACAACAATTATTATAAATAAAATAGCATTTATCAATATTTATTGTTTAAATTCTGCATCAAATAAATATAACAATTAAAGCTAAAATATCGCAAATATGCTATTACTATAAGATTAACACAATTTCATGCTATTACTAAGTGAAACTAATAAAACAACACTTTGATCTCGCACTATAAATACGTGATTAAGTATTGTAACTTAACCCTTAAAACAAATGCTACAATAATGATCATATTCCCCACATGAGTCACACTTATAACATCTATCAGATATTACTTGTTTGCCTCCACCTTTGCCTTTTGAATCTTATTTTTCAACAGATAGCTTCAACTGTTTTGTTGGTGATCTTCCTTTAGGCTGACGCTTCAATGGATCTAAGATCTAATTAGAATCGATCAATACTCCTTTTGTATTACAAAGGATCTGATTGTCATTCATTTTTCTATCTGCTAAAGTTTTTTGTTGCTTAATCGATTCTGCTTAAATTAGTTAAGCTTCTTTTCTTTTATTAAATCTTTGATAAACTGAATCAGTTCTTCATTATCATCTTGAATTGCAAATTGAATTGCCTTTTTGGCTTCGCATATTAGAGTATCAAATTTTAATTGATTTCATGATATTTGCTTAGAATACCTTTCGAAAGATCATTTATAGTGTATTTTTAGGCAAATTCTAAAGTGATTTGCGCACCATTTTGATCATTTTAACCATTACTTGTAATTGTCTCACTAGAACAGATATCGCTTGAATTAATATATTCATCATTATACTAACGCTTAGGAATCAATGTTAAATGAAAATATACATTAGAAGATTTAACAAACACTTTAAAGAAATATCTGCATATAATATCATGAGTGACAAGTATTTTGGGTAATTGTATTAAGAAATCTTTCAAACTTCTAAAATATCGTTAAAACTAACCATCAAAATCAAAGACTTTATGTCAAGCTCCCGATTCTCATCAGCTTCAATAAGAGATTTGGCAGAATCTTCTACTTTATCAAAGAAAGGTTTAAATAAACCATTATCTGATACTAAAATTTCAGAAAATTGTACTTGATATGCACGATAGCATACAGATTGATACATTTATTTATAATATGCATCGTGAATCAGCTGTGTGAAATATTTATTTATGATACTATCAATGCTATTAAAGAATATTTGTATAATGAAAGGTTGTGTGTACTGTAATATTAAAGCTTTTCAGATTGAATAACAATTATTAATTGACTTAAATTCTAACTGATTTTTAAGAGATTTTTGAACTTGTAAGAGAGAGAAACTTGACTGCATAGCCTTTTTTATTAATACATTTTCTGATTTTACACACTGTGTAGATTGCGTTCCCATTGTGAAACGTTGTGATATAAAGCATTTTACCCAAGTATGCTTTTGATTCAATAGCATTGTGGTTATATATTTGCTTCCCACCTCATATTTTTCAACTATCCCTTTGGTTTATTTTTCAAATACATTTTCACAATAAGAGCATTGAATTCCTTTAAAATCTTTAAGGAATTCCTGATAAAGTGATAATCCTAAACATGAACGAAGGTTTTTTGGAAGATTTTGATAGAGATGATATAAACATTGCATATGATGAATCTCTAGAAATATTATAAAAATGGCTGCAATCATTGCGGTGTCAGCATCAGTAACAAATGTTAATAGAGGAATTTCACATGCTTCAAGATAATATTGAAGTAACCATTTGTATGATTCTTGTCTTTCATTCTGCATAAATGCTTGAGCTGCCAACCTACTCTTATTATAGTTATTGATTAATATAAAGAGACTTAACGGATAGTTATATTTATTTATTTTTGCAGTGTTGTTGTGAATAATAATATCATAAAATTTTGTTTACCTTTCACGCTACTCTGATGACATCCAAAAAATACCAACTAACCAGTTACTTGTGTTATCTATTAATAGCTTTACAAACCATGTAGGATCATTAGCTTGCAATTCAAGAAGCTTCATTAATAGAGATGCTATTTCCCCTAAATTCAATCCCTTTTCTCGTTTAATTCTTTGAATTGCATTCCCTAGGTCTTGAATAAGAAACACATGATCAGGATACTTTAGTTGAAGGAGATTCCTAATTGTTCCTGCATCACATCGGCCATGCACAACATAAAATTTTATCTGTTCCATGATTTCTTCAGAAAAATTTTTGTAAGTGGTAGAAAATTTCACAGTTTCAATAGAAATCTCATGGTTGTGTTCATTATTAAATGACGTTACAGTTGCTATTGGTGAATTTGATTATCTATTAATGTTTATTTGCTACATACAACTTTACTTTTTACTTCCTTTGCTCTTTTCTTTACCTAATATCGGTCTTGAATGTTTTTTAACATACCTTCCTTCCAAATCACACTTAAATACCTTTTTCTACAAGTACCATCTGAAAATTTTTCAGTCTTGTGCTTAAAGACGGTAAAGTTATTTTGAAGAGCATATTATTCTATAAAATATACTGTGATTTCCATAGAGTGAAACTTAGTTCCTAACTCAATTTCAATCGAAGTATTGATTGGTGAAAAAACACTATTATAACCTTCAAATTTAGAGCCTAATACATCTCTAAAAACATACTCTTCTTCATTATTATTATTATTGGTAGGTTCTATAAAGGGTGTGGCATTATAGAACATGATTAGTATAGGCACAAAAAGTAAAAAATCATGAATGTTTGACAAGCAAATAAAGACCTTTCATGAAGGTTTCAGAAATAAGCATGTTTATAATATTAGAGCAGATGGAGTAGTCATTTATTACTTACGATGGATATTAAAGTGGTATTAAAAATTTTTGAGAAAAAAAAGCTCAAAAAATAATTTGAAACACCACTGGTCAAAGAAATTGGAGAAAGAATTTTTGGAGGAAGAAAAAAACTCTGAATGAAAAAAAAACTTCGGAGAAAGAACTTTAAGGAATACTACCAGTCAAGAAAACTTCAAAGAAATTAAAAAGAATTTTCAGAGGAAAAAAAAACTCTGGAGAAAAAAAACTCAAAAGAAAGGAGCAAATTGTCAACACCAGTAAAGAGGACTTCAAAGAAAAATGACTTTCAAACTTCTTTCTTTAAAAAAAATATAAAGAATAAAAAATGCTAGAGGAATAATAAAAAACTTTAAACCTCTAAAGAAAAAATTCTTTAATTTAAACCTTTTGCAGATTAGAAAAAAAAAACAACTTCTCTTCTCAAACTCTAGTAGCAAAAAGTCAGTGACAAATAGTATAAAACTCTATCCTTCGTTACAAAACCTTTTGTTACTATTAGAAAAGAATCATTGTAGCTTAGAAAGCAAAGAGTTTTATGCGCAGCTATTTTTTTTATTTATTATTATTAAAAATTTAACGTGACTTATTCAGATTTTTGACGTGATTCATTTGATCAACTGATCACGTAAATATGAGATGAGAAATCATCTAAGTGAGGAATAAATTTTCTCTAATAAATTTTATAATAGATTTTAATAAAAAATTTAAATTTTATTAATTATATATCATAATTTATTAAATTACTTTTTTTTGTAATAAAATATAATAATTAAATAATAATTAATGAAATTATTTAAAAATTTATTTATAATTAATTATTAATATATATATATTATACTAATTAAAATTAGAAATTAAAAAAAAAATCATTTTTATTATGTTGATATATTATAAATAAATTTTAATAAGGCAATATATTATTATAATACTAAAAATATTATTTTAAAAATATATTTGTAATATGATATATAAGATAATATTGAAAAAGTGATAAAATCAATATCCAAAAATTAATTTTTTTATTATAAATAAATATAAATTTAATAAAGAACATTTTTTATTTAATGAAAGAAGATATTAATAATACAATCAAATAATATTAAAAAATCATAAAAATATAAAATTTTAAATTTATCTATAAATAAATTTTATTTTATTTAATATTATATTTTTTATAAATTAAATTACTAGTATTTACTTTTTATATATTGCTTATAATACTAAATTAATTTTAAAAAATAAGAAATTTTATTTATTATTTAGTTTTATAATATTTTTTATATAATAAAATTAAATTAATTTAACTTTAAATTATATTTTATTTTATTTTATTTATTTATTATTATTTATATATATTTTTAAAATTTAAATATTAAAAATTATAGATATTTTTAAAAAATAACTTTACAAAAATTACAATATTTTAATAAAATTAATTTTAATATTATTTTAATCTTTATATTAATTTAAAAATAAAATATTTTAAAATTTATTATATAAATAAAATTATTTTTAATTTAATTTATATTTTATAATAAATATAATATATCTTTATAATAATTAATTAAATTATTTTAATTTAACTAATAGAGAAAATAAATATTTATAAAATTTATTTTTTATTGTATCTGTAAAATTTTGCATTAGTATTTTGTTATAAATTTTTGGTTAAAATTTAATAAATTTATTATTTTATACAAATATAAATAAGTACTTGTTAAATATAAATGCTTTAAATGTTTTATTAGATAATAATAGTTAATCAATTAAATTCATTATATGGGCTCTTTGCAATAGAAAGGGAGGAAACTACCAAAAAAATTTTTTTTGAATTAATGTTAAATCTGGACTTAT